ACCCTTTGTACAAGGTGCCGATGTCGGGCACGTCCTGCTGCCGTGACATATGGCACATGAATCATTCACAGAGCTGGGGAATTAATTATTCATCCAAACGAAAGACCAAACACTTTACTAATTGTCATGGAAGGAAAGAGCTGGGAAGGGGGTGGGAGATGGGGCAGACATCGGGTTGGAGATCGGCATCACCCTTGAAAAGGGAAAAAAAGAAAAAAGTCTTGTCCGATGTGATCAAAGTGTTGCTCTGCTTTTTGACCCAGGGTTCTCCCTTTACTGGTTTGCCCTATAGGATGACATTGCTTGCAACAGTATAGGCTCCAGGAGAATAATCCTGTTGGGATAATGCACTTGTGCTCCCATTGAACGCTTGTTCTCCTCCAAGCATCGTATCCACTCCCCCAAACTTCCTCACCTGCAGGCGTGCTGTTCTCCCCCACTTAGGAAAACGCAGGTGTCAGCACCAGGGGAAGAGCCTGTTCCCAGCTCGGGTGTGCACGTGCACACATGTGTGCTCTCACACACGCGTGGGGTGCCGGGCACGCTGCTGAGGGCTGTCACCCCAAACCACGTGAGGACGCACATATGAATATTCCTGCACAGAGCTGCTGCCAGCACATTCAAGGACAATCTCCCTTCCCCTCCAAGACCAAAAAGATCACCTATGATGCGCAGAACTTGGGTTGTGCAGGGTGCACTAAACACCAGAGAGCAAAGCATCCTTGTCCCTGCTGTGGGGGAGCCCAGGAGAATTGCAACAAGGGCACCGGGCACTTTCCAGGACAGTCATCCCAAAATCCAGGCAGCACCACAACAAGCCTGCCCTCCTTGCCCGGTTGTAGCCCCACAGCAAAGAGAGAAGCCTCCCAGGAACCCGCTTCACTCGGTGAAAACCAGGGCACGGGTGCGCTCAGGGTTGCACCAGGAGGTCAGAGGGAAAGGGTGGGATCACAACTGTCACTTGTCTTTGCAAAGAGACGACTTTGGTTTTCAGGCCAACCGTTTGGACCTGGAGAGTCGGGCTTTCCTCCACTGGCACTGGCTGGTAACCCTCCGCTCGGCTCCGGGTTTTCTAAGGGCCCAGCAGGCACTGCTGGAGCTCGTTCATTCCTGCCTTCCCTTGGCCACGCTCCACCCCACAAAACCCCTTAACGCAAACCACAGCGCCCAAGGGCTTCACAAAAGGCATCCAGGTGTAACGGCTGTTATTAAAGCCTCCGAAAAGCACTTACGCCAGCTCTTCCTTTTCGTGACCCCGGTGTATTTATCTTGGTTTTACAGGGGCTGCTTCCCCGGCTCCTGAGCAGCACAACTTCACCAGGGCCTTTTGATTTCCATTTTGTTTTTTTTCCTCCTGTTGTTAGAAGTGTTCTCCCACCCCTTCACCTCTCACATAACGTGTTATTGTATTACCATTGCAACTGCTATAAAAAAAACCAACGCGGTGATGCTCAGGCATTGGAGTGTGTGGAGCACACACCCACCTGGATATTTGCAGAGGGAGCTTAACCCTTTTTTTTCTTTTTTTTCATTAACACCTTCAATATAGTGTAGGACAAGGCAGACTGGATTAGGATCCTCTATTTCTATTCATTACACTAACAGCACCTGGGGAGCTGATGTTCCAGTTCACGGCTGAAGGTCCTTCGCCCTCTCCCTCCCAGGACCACCCATTAAGAGGTCACCAAACTCCTGCTGCCCTTTCTGACCATTTCTGAGCAGTTTCCCCCTTTTTTTTTTGGTCCAGGACACACCGAATCAAGCAGGTCACAAGTCCAGTTTCAGCACCCAGCCACTTCTGGTTCTTGCATGGGCAATGTGAGCATTCCCAAGCCTCAGGAGAAACACAGATGTTCCCCTCCCTAGCTCTTTCTGAGAGCAAGTAAAGGTATTTTATGCACATTTTTGGATAAAAATATTTTTAGCTGAGGGAGAACAGGCTGGTTTTTTTCAGGCAACAATGATGATTTGGAAACTGCAGGTTATAAACAGAGCAGGTTTACAAATGTAACTATTAGTTCCCCAGTGGAAGCTTTAGCATCAGGGAGTTTTAGGTGGGTGTTGATTTCCACCGAGATGAAAAATCTGGATTTATTGACACAAGAAGCGAACAGCAGTTGAACCCAAGTCAGCGCCATCCATTCCTGCACAGGGTCCCAGGAGGCCAATCATGGCAGTAGCCCTTCGTTAGGCAAATTTACACCCAGAACATGCCCAGGAAATCTCATTGTTCATGGAAATCCCAAAACGTGGTGTCTGAAGCCGTGATGCCACCTCTCCTATCAGACACGTGGCAAAAATTAAGTCCATAAAGGAAGAGCAATGCACTCTGTCACCCTTGGAGGGATAAGGATGCATGAACGTGATGCTGGGTCCATTGAGGAACGATCCTGAGGTGGCTCACGTGGATATCCTCTCTGGTCCATCATCAGCATCCCAAAACAGTCAGAACATCCCCAGGCGAGTGCTACCCTACACCCCTGATGCTCACACCATCCCCTACACCACAGTTGCAATGAGATCCCAAAGACCACTAATTCTCCCAAGCTCAATAATCTTTGTCCAAACGTTCACACATTAATCAAGTGTAAAGTTTTAGTCCACACAGACAATCCTGAACCTGCCGGTCGCACACGTGCCCCCCACAAACTTCTCCACTCGTCTTACGCAACCGACACGATGTGAACCACCAAGTGCAAATCCTCTCCCTCACAAACGGTTTGTAAGTCATTTGCCAGCTGAGGATTACTCGCCGGAGAATTTTGCCAGTAATTCAGCAACACAAAAGGGCAAGAGTTTCTTGCATGGGAGGTGCAACCAAGGCACAAGTTTTTTGTCAGCACCGCGCAGCAAAAGCGGGAGCTGAACAGCACAGAAAAAGCCCACAGTCCGGCCCGGCGGATTCCCCAGCGACCCCATCCTCCCCAAAAATAGTCCAGGATGAAAATTTTTGGGTTCCCTCCTCCACCTCATCGTACAACAGAATTCATCCTGAACTCTCGGTGAGGCCACACCAGCGGGCACCGGCGCTGCCAAACCCGGCGGGTCACTGAACACGTTTTGCAGAGGGTTTCATCCTGCTGGAGCAAATATATGGATGTGAGGAGGGCGAGAGTGGTGAAACAGACCCTGGAGAGCTGTGTCCCATAACTGGCAGCGTCACGGGGACCCGTGCACCTCCCAGCAGGGTGGCTGGTGTGCCACTAACAGTCCTTCATGGACAATTGATTCCCTGGCACGGGGCCCAGCGCGGCACCGAAAGGAGCTGGCGAGGCTTTCGCGAGTGAGTAATCGCTGAGCGCTGACTCAGCACCGGCTTGGTTACAGTCAGCTCGCCCGGAACCGCAGGGAGAGGTCTGCGGTGAACCCCCACTCGCCTCCTCCCAGCCCAGTGCTTCCTCTTGGCCCAAGCCCCAAAGGACGCCCGGGCCAGGAGACGGCTGGTGGCCAATTCCCAGCCACCCAGCCCCTTTCTGTGCCTTCAGCCCAGCACTGCAGCTGCACGGTGAGGTCGAGATATCTCCTCTTGTTGCTACCAAGGGTGACACGTGTCCAACACTACCCCCAAGATGTGACCACCTCTGCCTAGCCCAGGAGCCGTGCCCAGCCGCCCGCCCCACAGCACCAAGCTCTCTCCAGAGAGACATTTCATGGATGCAGAAGAGCCAGCAGCATCCTGGGCAATGACTGCACCGCCTGCGGGCAGCCCGTTCGCTGCCCACAGAGAAAGATCACCCCACCACTGGCACACCAAGACACCCTGCCATTCCAGACAGGCGTGGTCCCACTCTCAAGTGAGCCCATCCAGGTATGCATCGGAGTAAGGGTGTCAAAATGTTCTTGGTTATGCTCTCCTCAAGCCTCCTCTCAAGCACAGTCCCAGTCTGCACCTCTTCACCACAGCAGCACCAGGCTCAGCATCTCCCTACCTCCTCCAAACACCCAAACGAGTGTAATGTCCCATGTGATGCCACCACCCAGCAAGCCAAGAGGCAGGACTATGCACAGCAAGCAGCTCAGAGGAGACCCCAGGTACTTTGCCTGGCTCTCGTGCCTCAGTTTCCCAGCCAGACCTGCAGCTGCTCTGCACCCAGCAGAGCTCATGAAGTGCTTGGAGATCCACAGGCACCATCTGTTCGTACACATCAGACCAGCTCCTCTGAACGCACCGTTTCCAACAACACGCAAAAAGGAACAACCACGATCCAAGCACCCCTTCCCTGAGGTCCCCTGATGGCTGCAGACACCCATCTGCCCTCCAAACAGCGAGGGGTCCAGGCGGGTCATCCTGGGCAGCTTCTGCTCAAGCTGATTGCCAATGTTAGCTAACACAAGCCCAAAAGCCCCTGCTCATTTCTATGTCACCATCACAGCTCATCACACCACAAGCAAGACTCAAATCTGGGCCACGTCCCTGGCAGGTGACACCACCAGTGACACAACCAGCACCCGTGAAGCTCCGTGTGCTACCACCCCCAGCATCACTGCTCCGTGCTGGGATGCTGAGTGAGCAACACCTGGGAATTCAGCTCCAGCCAGACCTCATTCCCAAAATCCCAGCACCCAGCCAAGGCTGTAAAGTGCTTGAGAAGGCAAGAAGAGAATTTCTCTCACCCTCTCTAGGGCTTGACTAAAACCTCTCTCATATCAACCATGTCCATTTTCTTGCCAGACCATGCCCCTAGCTCATCTTTACCTCACCCCATGCCCAGATGGGTGAGAGATGCCAGGTCATCAGCGGAGAAAAGCTAAATGTGATGCCCTTAGAACCAGCCCTCCTCACCCGATAGGGAACCTCATCCAATCACCAGCGGTTCACAACAAAACCAACACAAGAGCCTTGACTGTGGGACATCATTCTCCCTTCCCTCATTAGGATGAAGAAACAACAGCAGCAAACCAGGGCCTTGCCCTGCATCCTGAAGTTGATATCCTCACTGGCACGATCCCCCATGCCCAGCCGCCCAACCTCAGCAATGGCCCCAAGCCAACTGACTCACCCGCTGAGGACCACGATGAAGTCCATGACGTTCCAGCCGTTGCGCAGGTACGAGCCCTTGTGGAAAACGAACCCCAGAGCCACAATCTTAATCCCAGCCTCGAAGCAGAAAATCCCGATGAAGTAGGGCTCTGTCTTCTCCTGCCGGAGGGGAACCAGTGACATGGTGAGAAGGGGAGACTGGGAGAAGACAGAACCAGCCATTTCACATTGACCCAACTCTTGTCCCCATCCCACCTTCCCCCAGCTCCATCCTCTCCTTTGGGAGCTTTCCCAGACCTTCCTCAGCCAGCATCAACCTCAGAAACAAGAAGAGGGTGGCTATGATGCACTCAAGTTGCCCAGTACCCCGCTTTTTAAGGGGTTTAAACCTTCCTGAACCCTTTTCCATGGAGGAGGAGAATGTGAGAGCAGCCCTGGAAAGGCTGGAGGAGCTAGTCTCAGAGGAAACCTCCTGCCATACCACTCTGAAACTAGAAGACAGGACAGGGTGTCTCCCCTTGGCTGATGCCCCTGCTCACATGCCAGAGTTTCCCCGCAGGGCAGAGAGAGACGAACAGGGAGTACTTACTAATCTCCGTGACATGGGCGTCTTGTCATCTTCGGGGAGGTGCTGCTCGAGGGCCAGCACGATGCAGTTGGCAATGATGGTCGCCAGGATCATGTACTCAAAGGGAGTGGAGGGGAGTTAAGGAGCAGAGAAGACGTGGATGATGTCCCCGACCCACTAGCCCAGCCTTGCCCACTTTTCATTTCACCTGCTCATTAAGCCACCACCACCACCTTCCCCACAAGACCATGGACATGTACTGCCAAAGTGTCACCTCCCGCTGCTCTCAGGCAGGAGGTGCTGTTTGGAAATGAGAGGTGTGACAAAAGAACCAAGAGCCCCCAAGACCTTCTTCTCTGGAGACTTGCTGAGCCTCATCACCTCCTTCCCTAGTTCACAGGACATTAACCAACAGTGTTTGCTGGGCTGTGAACTCTCTTGGGAGAGAGATGCTGCTTGTGGTGGGAGCCCAGAAGATGGACCCAAGTATGAAGGTGGACAGCCAGGTTCTGTCCAGGCTGGGCTTCACCTAGAAAAGGGTTTGGCATGGTCTCTGGCAGCGTCAGGGGGGCTCTGCCTGGTATGGCATGTTGGTGACCAGGACTAGCACATCCCTGCATGCCATGAACCTGCTGCTTGCCTTCTTTCTTCCAGCACGGAACAGGAGATGGAGATTGGAGGAGGAGGTGTCATGGGCTACCAGCAGCCCTGATCCTAAAGCATCCGCATGGAAGAGACCACCTGCACAACTTGAGGAGGACAGGGCATTCCCTAATAGTCTTGGGAATTCAGCCCACCCTGTGCCCCATGTTAGCTAGTGGAGGTACCCTGGAAACCAAGGGTCCCTTGCCAAGTTCCTGCAGGGTGAGCCCAGGCAGTGCTGGATGCTGTTGAGCACTCACAACTCAAGACACTGATGGTACCTGAGTCTGAACCTGAGTTCAGGCAAGGCAGAAGCTCCCTGTGGAGACATCCTGGCTCAGCCGTGCTTCAGCAAGGCTCCAAGCACTAGCAGCACCTTATCAACAGGATCTGATTGGACCCTTAGGAGCATCCTGAATCCTACAGCCATGTCTAGGACTCATACACCCCCTCTCCAGGAGCAACCACACACCAGGAGAAGTGGCAGCAGATGCTGGCATCTGGGAACATAAGCGGAGAGTGAAAGAAAGGGCAGGAAAGCACCCTGAACTCAGCTCCCTCCTGCTTTTTGATTCACAGAGCGTGGAGCTCCCTTCTCCTGCCTGGCTCACCACCAAGCCTCGAAAACAAAGCACTTCCAAGTGACAGGACAGCCACATCTTTCCAACTTCCCATCTATCTTCACCACGTCTTTGAAATAAAAGTCCCATTGTCCTCAATACCAAAATGAGGCGAGATTCATCATCAGGCAGCACACCTCTTCTCTGCTCCCTTCACACCAAAAACCCACACCTGTATTACTGTCACCACTGGCGTCAGCAGCCACCTCAGGCAGGGACCACCACCTTTCCTAGGCTCGCGTCTGTGGAAAGGGGATGTGATCCCACCTGGGATAGATTTTTCCCATAAAGAAACGATCCACAGCTGGCACAGGGAGACTGAGCCCTTCCCCTCTGCACTGGGCTTCTCCAGACCCGGCAGCTTCAGGTTTGCATTGCTCAGACCAGGCAGTGCCATCACCTCTGGCAAAAGGGACAATTTTTCTCTTCTGCAGCCTTGCCTTTTGGCCACCAAAGCTGCCGACTACAGCAGGATGTTTTAAACCAGTGGCCCTGAGCCCATGGGCAAGAGAAGACATCCCAGTGCTGGCCACAAGCACAGGAAACTGGAAAACATGGAGTGACTCCGTGCACCCTGCGGCACGTGGGCACAGTGGGAGTGGGTCCGGGCATCAGAACAGGTCCCAGGAGCGCTGGCCGGGACAGCCAGCCAGGGAAAGCCTGAAGGAACTGGGATGTACTTAGCCTGTTAGGGAGAAGAGCCAGGAAAAATTCAGCCAAGGCATTTAAAAGGCCACTCAGTGAAATTAATGGTTGCTAAGTTAAAGGCAAACCAAAAGAGAGACCGCTGCAGAGCTCACTGCTGTGGGCTCAGACCTCGGTGCCAGCCGCGCACAAACTGCAAGCCCAGGGAGAGGTGAGACCCCAAAACTTTTCTCCTCCAAGGCTTAATAAAAATGAGGATTTTATTGCACAGCTCCTGGAAAAGCCACGTATTTACCCTGCTTCGCTTCCTGCCTCTGGCGGTACGCTTCAGCCAATACGACCGACCGCAGCCCTTGGCCCCGAGCCATCGGTCTGTTCAGGGTCTTTTTGTTTCATTTTCCTGAAAGTCTGCGAGCAATTAGCACAGGCTTAAAAGAAAACAGCGTGTTAGTGGGGCAGCGCAGCCAGCTCCCCAGGCGTTAGGCACAGTTGCCTAGATGAGAAGTGTGGAAACGGCACAGCGAGTCTGTCTGTCCGTCCCAGCGCAGCTTACCCTGCCAAGCATCCTGTGCTCCACCCCACCGTGCTGGGCATCTCCCACCACTTCCTAATCCCACGGGAGAAACACCCAGGTGGGGAAAAACCCAGTTTCTCCAAAGGCAGCAGCATGGGAGCCCTGCCTAGCAGCGGCTCAGGGGCTCAAGACCACTTCTAATGGCTCAACTTGCCCCTATATTTCCTTGCTGGCTCTAACATCTGGCTTGAGAGTGCAAGAACAGTGCACATCTGTCACAGCCCCAACACAAGACCACATCCCTGCTTCACCTCCAGAGCGCATCTGGGTCAGCAGTTATCAGGTCTGAAGGAAACAGGGCAACAGCTCAGCATGAGGAGGCTACTAGGAGTGACCCTCCAAACCTCACTGGCCCAGTTTTCTGAGGACCTGAGCCTGGGTTATCAGAATAAGAGCTGGGCGAGAGCTGCAAGGCATCAATCCCACGGAAACAAGCCTCTGTAGCTCCAGCTGTGCCAGGTTTTGGGAGACCAAGGGTAAGAAAACCCTCCCCCAAGTGACAGCAGGAACATCTGGCTGAAATTTTAGCCACATGCTTCACTCCTGCCAAGCAAGCATCCTCCCAGCTCAGGGCTGGAGCCCACCCGCCAATGCTCTATCACTCTTTTGTTTCCTCCCTCATTAGATATCAATTATACCCTTCCAGCCACCCAAAACACAGAGTCTCACTCGCCTCCAAGCCCAGCAACGAAAGCCCTCCAGTCTTCTCCTCCTTCATCTGGCTTCTCCTGGAGGATCACTAGGGAGCCGATAAAAATAGGTTTTCTTATTGATTTATCTCCTTTACCCAACCCTCTCCCCTGCACCGTTGACTTGTTTCCTTAGCAACTCGGCCGATCCCAGCGCACACCACACCTGCAGCTCCACGTTTCCGACCAGCGTGTTTGAGGTGGGAAAGGTGCCCCCAGGCCACATGGAATCCCCCACTCCAACCCAGAATCATGCTCCAGCCCACCTGGAACAGGCACTGCAGGTTAACCCCATGCCTGGAACTGGAGCTCCTTGGTGGGTCTGCTAGGGAACACCAGGGAGATGTCCAGCCATCAGTGGCTCTTTGCTTACACCTTTTTTTCCGCCATCCCCTCCCTGCCTTGCTCTTCTGCTCTCTCCCCAACTGCGAGCCAAAACCAGCTCCCCTAGAACATCTATATTGCTAACGCAGGGAGTGTGCCCAGCATCAAGACCTGAAGATGGGTTTAGGGTGCTGATGGCACATTGATGCAACCTCCCCAAAAGGCGAGGTGTAAGATAAATCCCTCCCTAGACGTGGGTGAAAGCTGGAAGCTGTAGAGGTCTCCTCTCCACTTCTCCATTTCAGTGACTGCACCTTCTCCCCACTCCCAGGAAGGAGCAGAATAGCCAGAGGAGTGAGGCCACATGGGCATCTCCGAAAAGGCTCTTGGAGAAGCGCACCTCAGAGGGCCATCCAGAAAGGCAGGAACAATTTAATCCCTTGCCCTGCCTGCATCACCCAGCCCAGCTCCACCATCTCCTAGAAACTTAAGTCTCAGCTTCCCACTGCCCCCCAGGACCTGCTGCACCAAGGGGCTTTCCCTGTTTCCCAGGTATCTATGAGAGGGAACTTCAGTTCCGACATCTGGGGACCTCATCTTGCTGGTCTCAACCCCACCACTGCTGCCGGCCCCAAGCAGGCATGGTGTGACAGGAAGACAGACACACCTCTTCAACATGCCCACCCCTTGGACGCTGAGGTCCCTCCTCTGAGATTCATACCCCAGCAGGAAAGCAAGAACGTCTTCTCCAAGGCTGTTTTCCAAGAGAAATCCAAAATGTCAAATGAAGCAAAGACTATGAGTGGTCCCAATCCAACTCTGGATTTCTATAGCCCCAAAGCACTTCTTCCTGAAGACACAGGGGATCTTCCCCCAGCAGATCAGGCTACCCAGTGCCCTCAAGCAGCTTACCCCATCCCTGTGCCCTGCCACGCAGCATTCTCAGCCCATCTGTGCTTTGCTGGGATCAACAGAAACTGATTTCCAGAGGAACAAGGTGCCGACAGACCCCAAATCCTCCTACCACCCAGGCGAGGTGCTCAGCCTGCCTAAATCTCACTGCATGAACATGCCTCAACTGAAGAGGCTCCACTACCCGCAGCCATAGATGTTGGTGCTTATGAGTCCCCAAAACACATCAATCTGGTCTCCGTAAGAGACCAACCCAAACACAGAGCTGCCCGCACTGCTGCCGCTCCCGTGGGGATGCAGGGTGCCTGCCTGCCACGCACAAACAGCTCTGTGGAGAAGCATCTCTTTCTCCCCGCCCTCACCTTGCATTTAAAAACTCATGTGATATTCCTGCCTTAACATCAGTTTTTTAACTTTGGTTGCCACAGCAACAGGATGCAACTTGGTGTCACCATGACAACAGCTGCCTCTGTTTAAATTCACCATCTGACAGGCAGCCTCGCTCCCTCCTGGCTGTCAAAAAGATGGACCTGCCATTACACCTACTCGCCCCTCCCCAAAAAAACCCCACATTTTAAAAATCTGATGAATGAAGGGCACGGAAAACAGCCTTGGAGATAAAAAAGAGACGTTCTTGGGTAATGCAACGAGGAGCTGCCCAAGGATGGTACGACATGGCACAGCTCTTCCCACAGGGAGGCGAGACCTGCCGAAATCTTGGCTGGGCAAAAGCGAAAGTGCAGAAGATGCTTGCCCAGGTCGGGCATAACACTGCTGGGGCAGCGCCCGTGCAGCATCAGAAATGCCCTGGTCAAAGTGGGAGTCATCATGAGCAAAACGGTTCAAGCACACACGGGAGTGCATCCCACGGCGCAAAATCTCCACGCGTGTTGGACTGGGGCTTTGCAGATGCTCTGGCTGCTCTTGGCCAGCCCAACACCAGATTTAGTCCTCAAAGGGGAGGAGATAGAAGTCCCTCCCTGCAGGGAACCAGGTCCCCAGAGGACTTGATGGACATCGCTCTCCCCTGCCAAACCTGGGGGACAGGTGCAGCGTCCTGTGTGTGCCCGGAGCCAAAGGCTGTCCTTGGGGACAGAGCCAGAGTCACACAAAGTCATCTGGCCTTTCTAGGGCGGGAGAGGGATCTTATCCAGGTCAAATGTGATTAAGCGGATGAAGAACGGAGCAGATATAGATGAGCTACAGCCCATCTCATGTGCTAACTGAATTGCAGCTTTCCAGGCAGCTAAACAAATGAAATCAGGGCTAAAGGCCTGGCCATCAGCAGGAGGAGAGCAGGCAGGACAAGGCTGTGATTCTGAAGGAAAAGAGTAGATGTTCCTACAGGCAAAACAGCAGCTGCCTCACGTTTTGGGCAAGACCAGTAAAACGAGCAGCTCCAGCAGAGGTAGCCCACTGGGCTTTCCAGCAAGGAACTCGGGAAAGGCTCATCTCCTCAAGGAGCTGCATCCCAGTCCCAGCTTCTCCTTCTTCCCCTCCATGCATCATCCCTATTTACACCGGGAAGCCAAACTGCAGAGGCTGCTGGTTATAATTATACGGTTACCCAGCAGATATACAGGCCTGAATCACCAGTTATTTTTAGCCCTATTACCTAGTCAACTGGAGCTGGATGAAGAAGAGCCTCCACTCCTCCCCGCTCTCCACCCCAGCCTGCCTTGGCTTTCCTCGGTGCTGTGCCCGTTCTGACCCGCAGCACCAGGACTGGCCACCTCCTTTCCAAGACCAGCAGCTCTCATGGTCTGTGGCCAAAATCCAACACTCGCCTCCCCAAGCCACCCTCGCCTTCAACCAGGAGCAATGCCATGGGCTCCAGGCCAGGTAGCTGAGATGCTTGCACATTTTCCCTGGCCTTAACAAAAGGCACCGGCTGGTCCTGCCAGACTACAACTATAAGGATGGGAACAACTTGTCTGGCCAGCAACACCAAACTCTTCACCAAAAAGCCCTTGAGAGCTCAAGACGTACAGAGAAGCTCCAGGGTCGATGAGTTTCTTAGAAAGAGATGGCAGCCAGGGATGCTCAAGCTCACATGCCTGGAGCACACCTGTTCCCAGCACTTATGCAGGGATATGTCACTTCTAGGAAAAAAAAAAAAACATAAAATGAGCCCATCTCCCTCATGCATTGCAAATTCCAGCAAGGAATAATGCTGGGGAGTTTTTACCACATGGTGGTGAAGCTCGAGTCTCTAGGAGACAGCAGCTGCCTGGAGATGAGACATCATGCCGGCACGGGACCCCAGCCCACGCGGAGAGCGCTGGGCCAGAGGTAGCACCCCAGCTCCTTCTTGCTTTAAATGAAAGCCGAAGGGGCAAGGGCCCTCCCACACAATGCTGAAAAACCACATGAATAATTGGGCATATTCTGGAAAAGCAGGCAGGCCAGCCCGGCCGCTGTCCTTGCAGGGCTCGGCGCTGAGCTGCCACATCCCCATCCTCACTACCGCACCGGTGCTCCTG